GGAAGGGAAGGGAGGGAAGGAGGGAGGGAAGGAAGGAAAAGGAAAGGAAAGCAGGCAAAACTGAATCCAAGAAGGTACAATAACTTGCATAAGGCACATGTTCAATTAAGGACAATCCAGGCTGAAGGCTTTTGCTTTCTGATCCACAGGACATTTTGTTACTGGACACAGACCTATACTACCTCTGCTTCAAAGCTCTGTTTCAAAAGTGAAAAGGATATTTCACAGAGAATACAGCATTGTGTATGTGTATCACACACATCAAATCCTATGTTATGTATATATATATATATGCATCTAGTAACTCATTTTTGTGTATTTTGTATGTTTATACTATCTAATACATATTATTTAAACTTTTGAAGCAAATGTGTATAATCAATATGAAATATGCAGATATTTTATACATTTTTTTGTCAGTTATGGGGCTTGAACTCGGGGCCTGGGCACTGTCCCTGAACTTTTCTGCTCAAGGTTAACACTCTACCACTTTGAACCACCGCTCTACTTCCAGTTTCCTGGTGGTTAATTGAAAATAAGAATCTCGTGGATACCAGGAGCTGGTGGCTCATGCCTGTAATCCTAGCTACTCAGGAGGCTGAGATCTGAGAATCACGTTTCAAAGCAGCCTGGGCAGGAAAGGCCATGAGGCTTATCTCCAATTAACCACCTAAATAATGGAAGGGAGGATGTGGCTCAAAGTGGTAGAGCACTAGTCTTAAGTAAAAAAGTTCCAGGACAGTGCCCAGGCCCTAAGTTCAAGCCCCACAGCCTACAAAAAAAAAAAAAAACCTCACAGATTTTCCTGGCAGGCTGGCTTCTAATTATGATCCTCAAATCTTGGCCTCCAATGTAGCTAGGGTTACAGGTGTGAGCAATCAAACAATCTGGCTATTTTCTACATTTTTAGAAAAAAAAGTTTACTTGCCAGGGGCCATTACTTTTTAAACGGGCATTGAAATATGAAGAAGAAGAAGAATATTTGGCCATATTTGGTGTTTTGTTTTTGGTCAGTGGTGGGGCTTGAACTCTGGGCCTGGGCGCTGTCCCTCAGCTCTTCAGCTCAAGGTGAGCGCTCTACCACTTGAGCTACATCGCCACTTCCAGCTTTCTGAGTGGTTTATTGGAGACCAGAGTCTCAAGGACTTTCCTGCCCGGGCTGTCTTTGAACCGTGATCCTCAGATCTCAGCCTCCTGAGTAGCTAGGATTATAGGCATAAGCCACTGGCGCCTGACCATTTTTAATATAAACTAAAAGCAGCAACATTTGTCAGAGTCCAGGATGGAGCCTTGCTCAGCACTTTCATGACCGATCTAGAAGGGACCAGACACAAGGAAACCAAGTTTTCAAGCTACTCTAAGGTCTAGGCAGCCGGGACACCACAGAGCAAAGGGAAAGATGCACCATGGGAAGATGGAGGGCAGCCATCTGCTGCTGGACGAGGCTAATGAGAAAACAACTCAGACAATACAGAGGACAGATTCAGGCTTCACATGGGAAGTAAATGAACTGCTTAATCTTTTTTGTTATAAGGCCATATAATTTTTATATGGCAGCACAAAAATTTGTAAGTCAATGAATGAGTGTGTGTGTGTGTGTGTGTAAGTGTGTGTGTATCACAGGGCTTGAACTCAGGGCATGGGTGCTGTCCCTGAGCTGTTTTGACTCAAGGCTGGTGCTCTACCATTTGAGCCCCAGCTCCATTTCTGGCTTTTTGTTTTGTAATTAATTGGAGATTGGTGTCTCATGGACTTTCTTGCCCATTCTGGCTTCGAACTGCAATCCTCAGCTCTCTCAGCCTCTTGAGTTGGCTAGGATTACGGGTGTGAGCCACCAGTACTAGCAAGCCAATGAATTTTTATAAGTTTAAGGACCATTGGCAAATTGTAGGAAAGAAAGTTTTGTATTTATGTCTCTAAAAGTCTGTATAATAGTGCAGGATCTGTGAGATCCGAGTTACAGACGATAGCGCATAACACGGGGCTGGAGGACTTAGTACAATGACCACAAACAAATATGTAGACAGTGAGACGAGGGAGGGTCAGGTTCTTTTCCAAGAAACTCATAAACAGGGCTGGGAAGGTGGCTCAGTGGTAGAGCGCTTGCCTTTCATGCATGAGGCCCTGGGTTCGATTCCTCAGCACCACATAAGCAGAAAAAGCCGAAGTACACTATGGCACAAGTGGCAGAGCGCTAGCCATGAGCTGAAGTGCTGAGGGACAGCGTCCAGGCCCAGAGTTCAAGCCCCACAACCAACAACAACAACAAAGAAAAGAAACTCATACACAAAGGTTTTCCAACTAAAAGGTAGCAACACCTATACCCTGTATTCTACTTTGGGGATGGCTCTTTATTGTACTTATAAATAAATTTAATTCTCCTAAATGAAACTGAGCCATATCACTTAAAAG